GTCAGAGACAGTGGGGAAGGACGCCAGGTCAGGAAAGAGCAGGGGGAGGATCAGGCGACCCACTGAGGCAGCAGGAGGGGTAGAATAGCGCTTGATGACAGCATCGAGGTAGGCCTGGGCGGTAGTAATGGTCCTAAAGCGAGGGCGCTCAAGGGGGGGGAGGGCATTGCTAATGGCGAGCTGAGCAAGGGCATCGCGGGAAAGCCAGACAGAGCGGGCAAGGGCAGCGGCGGCAGTGGACTCGCGCTCAGCGGGCGTGGGATCAGCAGGCAGCACAGCAGGGGGGTCAGGGCAGGGGAGCATACCGTCTAGGTGTGCAGAAAGCGGGTGGCCGTCCTGCCGCTGACCAGTGAGGTGGCGGCGAAGGTCAGCCAACCACGCCTCGAACTCCAGAGGCTGACCCTCAGCATCAAAACGAAGCTCAGCAGCCATGAGGGGCAGTGGAGGACAGTGGAGTGCGGTGTAGTGCTGTGCAGTGCGGTGCAGGGCGGTGCAGTGCGGTCCAGTGCGGTGCAGTGCGATGCAGTGCGGTGCAGTGCGGTGCAGTGCGGTGCAGTGCGGTCAGTGCGGTTCAGTGAGGTGCAATGCGGTGCAAGCGGGGCAGGAAAGTGCAGGAGGGTGCAAAGTGGTGCGGGGAACGGGGGACAGTACCAGGAAGTATGGAGGGCCGGGGCAGGCGCGACGGGGCCGGGCAGGCGCGACGGGGCCGGGCAGGCACGTCGAGGCCGGGCAGGCGTGACGGGGCCGGGCAGGCGCGACGAGGGGCCGGGCGGCTGCGACGGGGCCGGGCGGCAGCGACGAGGCCGGGCGGCTGCGACGGGGCCGGGCGGCTGCGACGGGGCCGGGCGGCTGCGACGGGGCCGGGCGGCTGCGACGGGGCCGGGCGGCAGCGACAAGGCCGGGCGGCAGCTACGAGGCCGGGCGGCAGGGACAGGGCCGGGCGGCAGCTACGAGGCCGGGCGGCAGCGACAGGGCCGGGCGGCAGCGACGGGGCCGGGCAGGACACAGCAGGGCCGGGCGGGGGCGACGGGGCCGGGCGGGCGCGACGGGGCCGGGCAGGTGCGACAGGGGCCGGGCAGCTGCGACAGGGGCAGGGCGGGCGCCACGGGGCCGAGAGGCCGCGACAGGGCCGAGCTGGGGCGACGGGGCCGAGCAGGGGCGACGGGGCCCAGGAGGGTGGATACGGGGCCCAGGGAGGAGCGCGGCAGGGCCCAGGAGGGGCGCAACAGGCCCAGGAGGGGCGCTACGGGCCCAGGAGGGGCGCAATGGGGGCCCAGGAGGGGCGCGGCGGGGCCCAGGAGGGGCGCAATGGGGGGGCCCAGGAGGGGCGCTACGGGCCCAGGAGGGGCACTACGGGCCTAGGAGGGGCGCGACGGGGCCTGGGAGGGGCACGACGGGGCCCAGGAGGGGCGCTACAGGGCCCAGGGAGGGCGCGACGGGTCCCAGTAGGGGCGCTACGGAGCCCAGGAGGGGCGCGACGGGGCCTGGGAGGGGCGTTACGAAGCCCAGGAGGGGCGCGACGAAGCCCAGGAAGGGGGGCGCGATGGGGCCTGGAGGGGCGCTACGAGGCCCTGGAAGGGGCGCGACGGGGCTAGGGGGAGGGGTCGCGACTGGGCTCAGGAGGGGCGAGGCGAGGCTAGGAGACGCGACGGGAGGAGCGGAAGCGGTAGGTGGGGGGGGGGGGGGGGGGGGTCGAAACCTACTCGTGATACCATATCAAACCTAGAATTGAATAATGTGAGAGAGAGAGTACACAAACATATACCTAAATGTTGTACTCTCTAGAAGGTGACCCTATACAGTCTATACAAACATGATAACTACACATGTTTGACAGAGAGCACCGACAGGCGGCGTGGGAAACACATGATTGTCTATCTGACATTCTTGAAGAACGCCAAGGTCGTGACTGAGTTCTACGCTCACCTCACAGTTGAGAAGTGTGATGCCAGCTCTCTTCTATCAACACTACTGACACACCTGGAATCTACCGGGCTGGATCTGAACAAGATCAGCGGCATCAGCACTGACGGCGCCAGCGTCATGACCGGCGTGAACCGGGGCCTCGTGGCGCAGCTCCGAGCCAAAGTTCCGCACCTCGTCGCATGCCACTGCATCGCGCACAGGTCAGTTTTGGTTGGTGCCGTGTAATGAACTTGTACTTGGTGTTGCGATGTTCGTGTAAATATGAGCCAAGTGCATGTAACCAAACATTGAAGAACTAATGTTTTCGTTTGTAGCTTGCAGAGAGGCGTTGGCTGCGAAGGATGCAGCCACCGAGTACGTTGACATTAACATCGTGGACAAGGTGGTCAGGAGTCTGGCTGACATCCTTGGGTGGAGCATCGTCGTACACAAGCGTTTCAGCGAGCTCCAGAAGTTCATCAACGATACGACCCTTGAAATGCAGGGTATAAAGGATATCCGATGGCTCTCCCGCGGGGAAGCCATCTCGCGGCTCGTTGAAGTTCTCCCCGCTGCAGTCTTGCTGCTGTATGAATTTGATGATGACATGTACCATGTCGTCATCAGCTTCAAGTTCCACTTCCTTCTCTTTTTCCTAGCTGACGTCCTTGCAGAGCTTAATGCCCTCAACAGAAAGTTTCAGCGTCGAGCTGTAAGCGTGCATGCTTGTTCATCAATATAAATAGTTTCCTCCTCCTGCCTGAACGCATAACAGCGCTAATTTCATTGTAGTGGCTACATCGCAGGTGGACATCACCAGAGTCGCCCAGCTGATTGAGAACACCTGCAATGTGCTCCGCTCACGCTACATCGAGCATGGCGTCAACTTCGGCGAAGGCTCCGACCTGCTGTCTAAGTTCTTGGAGGAGCATGGACCTTCCAACAAGCGGAGGGTCATGGTGGAGGGCATCGACGGCTCTGGCAACCCCAAGACCCACACCTTCAAGCTTCATGAGAAGGACTTGAGCGACCAGAGGAGCAAAGGAGATATGGAGTCTTGTATCTCCCTTGCCTCCCTCTTTGTGCAGGCGGTCGTTCGGAATCTGGAGACGCGTATGGCGAGTCTCAACAATCTCCGTGGGTCGAAGCTGTTCCTCCCCGACGCATACCCCGACGCACCCGCAAAACGCGAGCGGCTGTGCGCAGAGTGGTTCGGTTCGCTTAAAGTCCTCTACAACGCCGAGAAGTGCGCCATGCCCGGTGTGTCTCTTTTTGGTTTATGTACATTGATTGTGAATGTAACAGTATTGCGGCATATATTGAATGTGAATGTCGCAGTAGGAGGATCTAAGTTATGTTATAATGCTTCCCTACCAATCTCGCCCCACAGGAGTCGACTGGCTGAAGGCTGAAAGAGAGCTTCCGCGGTTCACTAGGATGATGAACAAGCACTACAAAGACCACTCATTCCACAACTGCCTCAAGAACATTCTTAGGTCGGAGGACTGGCGCACGGCGTACCCCAACCTCGTGCGCCTGTGGGTAGCTGTTGCTGTCTTGCCGCTCAGCACCGTGGAGTGTGAGCGTGGCTTCAGCCGCCAGAACACGATCAAGTCCTGGCTGCGGGTTAACCTCTGCGACACCCGCCTTGCAGATCTCATGTGTGTCTCTCTGCTGGAGTACCCTATGAAGTGGGAAGAAGTGATGGAGAAGTTCCGAGCACCAGTTCCGCGACGCCAGGCGAAGCATGTCGTCATGCCCAACCCCCCCCGCAAGAAGAGAAAGCACGACAAGAAGAAGAGGAAGAAGACTAGTGCTGATGATGAAGATGTGGATGTGCGCATGACCATGGTTGTAGAGGACTTGTCTGACTAGTTAAGCTAGGAGGTGCAACATGGTGTGCATCAGTAAGCGAAGAAATATGCTACTAAACATTCTGTATATTTAGAAATTTATGGCATGTTCGTCTGACAAATCAGAAATCTTTGGAGAAGCCGTCTGATGATCAGACGGTTCCGTAGGGCCCGTCTGATCGCTTAGAAAGTGGCTGGGGGCAATCGAGGACCCTGGCCTCGTAATGTGAAGCTTGAACACGAACGCCGAATATATCCGAGGTACAGTATGTTTTTTTCGTTTCACCAAGCTGGCGAAAAGTCAAATGAGTCGCGCACGCGTTTCCCGCCTCGTCGCACACGCGTCAAATCGGCACCACTGCGTTTGTATCATTGTTCAGCTGCCCAAAAACGCACCTCGCAAAATCGTACTGGGAACCCGTTTTTTTTCAAAAGAACCATCTTCAAGAACGGCGCTCTTGAAGCCCCCCCTATGCTATTTTAGCCTGTGGTTTTAAGACAGACTGGGACCTGCGCTGCAATAAGGAGACGAAGTTTAGTTTGGAGACGTCTCAAAATTGCGTCACGATAAGAAGACTTTGGAATGCTATGGGTGGGTGCTGCATCGCTAGGGAGCCCATGCAGGGAGGTACCTGAGTATTTTTTTAATATTTACCTTGAGTAGCATTGGTAAGCTATATTTTCTAAATCTATTCAATGCCAGCTCTATGTACGTACATCATTTTACGGATAGCTATCATCAAGGTAGCTAGAATATCCAGTCTTGCTACGGTTATACCGGGGATCGGGGCGAGTCCCACCCACCCAGCGTCTGTTTTCTCTCAGGGCGTGTTCTGCGCGTAATTACCGTTTCAGATGGTCATAATTTCCTCCTGACTCTCAGCGAATCCACCCAACCGCAGTCAGACGTACGCGGGGGACACGCCCTCAGTTCCCCGCTCCACCATACCAGTTAGCAAGCTACTCAACCTCTCTAGAACACAGAGCACCTTTCTCAACCGCAAATGTACGGTTTGAGTTGTTGCACACCTCTCTCGGTCCGAGCGTCCCCAACAGGGCTTTTTTTTACGGGCAATTGCCCGGATTTTGACCAAATAACGGGTGCTTTTTCGACCAAAATCGGATTGTGACGTGTTCGATTTTCAGATAAACCCGTTTTATCCGGGTCCCGCGAGAGAGATACCCGGATCTGCCGTGTGGACGAAAACCCTGAGGTAAGCCCTGGTCCCCAATGCCCCACCAGCAGCAAATGACTAGGGGAGTCCCTACGAGTCTTCACCTCTACTAGTACCTAGGAACAAGCCGCAATTGCTGCTATGGTCATCTCGAGCATTAGACGGCTCTTACCTCTCCAAGCCGCGGCGCTGGGGAAAGCGAACCCACTAATCCACTATGTAGCCCTCGCGGTCGCGGCCTCCGCGATTCTCGGCTTTTGGGTGTTCCTTCAACCAAACGGGACGATCCTGCCCGTTGATTGCGGTCCAGCTGGGATTCCCCTCCTCGAGCGGTCAGAAAAAACATTCCGAGCCTGCCCATCGTGCGGCGACAGGAATGACGCCCCGCCGTTGGATGATCGCGCGCCGTTGGATCGGCCGCTATCTGCGCGCGGCGCGAAGATCCGCCTGTGCATGGGCAGCCCCTCGGCGCCGTTCGCGCAGGGGACGTTCGTGACGAAGCCGATGCGCCGCGGGAGGGAGTTCGGCAACCGCTTCGCGCAGCTCACCGTCTTCGACGCCGAGGCTCGGCACGAAGCAGAGGCTCGGCAGGGGGGCGGCGCAGGTTCGGTGGCGACGACCCTGCGATTCCTTGCGTTTTTAGAGGACGACGAGTCGATAAAAAAGTCGCAGTGGGAGGGGTGGGGCGAGGCGGAGTTCAGTGACCTTTTCGCCCAGGGGGAGTTAAAGCTCAAGTGCCTCATCTGGCCCGGCCACGACGCTTATATGCAATCGCTTGAGCCTGCTTATATCGTGAATGCCGTGGCAGCAAACAACTACCTCTGGCACAACATTATAGAATGTCCACTCCCACCATACACCGAGCTTACTTCTAACGAGACAGCCTCAAACGAATCATCCGACTCCCTTTCTCTCTCAACTGACCCCCCTGCGTCGTTACCAGAGCGGTTGAGAACGGTGGAGGGGCGGCGGTGGGGCGTGCAGCGTGGGCAGCAGGTGCAGGTGCAGCTGGTGGCGGCAGAGGCTGGCGCCGACCTGCGCATGGCGCCGCTGCTGCTGTGCCGCGCCGACCACGACAAGCGCACCCTCGCCTCCTCCCCGCACTCGCTCTCCCTCTCCGCCTCCCCTCTCCACACCACCACTGCTGCTGCCTGGCCCGTCCCTCCCTCCATTCCCCCGCCCTTTCCCTTCACTGCAGTTGAGCGGGAGTTGGCTGCTGTGGCTGCTGCTGCGGCTGAGGGTGCTGGGGGTGGTGCTAGCTCCGGGGGGTCTGCAGGCTCGGGGAGTGCTGGAGGCTCAGGGAGTGCTGGAGGCTCGGTGGGTGCTTCAGGCTTGGGAGGTGGTTCGGAGCTGGCGAAGTTTCTAGGGGCGGCTGAGGGAGGGGTGAATGGCACGGAAAGAGGGGTTGGGAGCGGCGGTAGGGAAATGGAGAGTTCAGAAGACTTGCTTGTGAGCTGTGAGGATGAACCTACTAACGAGGATGAAGAGGGCAGCAGCAGTGTGATCAGTATAGGACTTGGGACCGAAGGGGCAAATGACTCCCTAACTGCAGCAGCCGCAGCAGACACAGCATCAGCAGCAGCAACACCAGCAGCAGGAGCAGCAGCAGCAGCAGCACCAGCAGCAGCACCAGCAGCAGCACCAGCAGCAGGAGCAGCATCAGGAGCAGCACCAGCAGCAGCAGGCGGCAGCAAAGGCGGGGGAAGAAAGGCGAAAGGGGCCGGCATGGGAGCGGTTTCCATCTGTCTGCGCCCCCTGCACACGCGGCAGATGTTTTCCGACAACACCGCAGTGTCAGACGAGCGCCTACTGGAGTGGATCGATGTGTCTCTGCTCATGGGCGTGGACCGCATCTATGTGTACGACCGCTACGCCATGCACAAGCGCGCGCTGCTCTGGCCGTACATCGCCCGCGGGCAGGTGGTTCACGTGCCGTTTCCGCCCTGGAGCGAGGTGTTTTATCGCCAGGGGCAGTACGCCGGCAAGGGCAAGAAGCCTTACGCGGTGAGTGCACCTTCACTAGGGGGTGGGTATTCCGAACGCAGCAATCTCTGACGGGCGAGGGCATGGGCAAGAAGAAGTACGCGGTGAGTGCACCTTCTAGGGACTGCCTCCTCCCATGTGGTGTGTGCCCAGCCCAGCATACGGCAGGTGCGTTCTGTGGGGTGTCTGCCTGCCCATTTGGTGACGGCCTACCTTGTGCGGTGCATACCACCACTGAGTGCGTGTGTGCTTTCCAGTGTGGTGGGACTGTGTGTCGTTCCTGCCGCCTGGTATGGCAGTAGGTGTACCTACTTGTATGCATTTAGTGAATAGGTGAAGAAGTACCTTTCATCTAGTTTTTTTTGTTACTTTCTTCATTTCCCCATGCCTTGTTGTACCCGCTTGTGCCTCCAGCCAGTTCCCGGACATATACGACCAGGTGATATCGTTCGACTACTACATGATGCTGGGGCGGCGGTCCATGCTTTTAATAAGTCTTATACCCTCCGCCCCCCCCTTCCCTCTCCCCCCCTCCTCCCCCCTCCCCCAGCCAGTTCCCAGACATTTACGACCAGGTGATATCGTTCGAGCACTGCATGATGCTGGGGCGGCGGTTGGGCGACAGGTGGCAGCTGCAGATCGACAGCGATGAGTTCGTCTGGTACCCGCCGTCAGCTGGCGGCTTCTTGAAGCCGCTTCTAGCGAGGATAGAGGTCAACCACATGCGCGATCCGGGAAGCAGATCGCCACTCCGGGTGAGTCGTAGGGTCAAAAATTCAATGCATTGGATGCTGCTCAAAGCTGCTTCTAGCGAGGATAGCACGTAAGTTAGGTAGGACATGAGCAAAATGCGATGCGATATTTAAAGCGAGCGAACAGAATAAACTCAAGTTTCAAAGTACCTTGAATCTTGAGTTCTGATGGGCGAATTAGCGAGACGGAAATTGGAGTGGCGAAACGAAACGGGACTGACGAGGGCGCTCGCAACCTGACGAGGTCGCACAGCCCTCACCAGTCCTTTTGGCAGTTGGGGAAATGGTTGGCAAACTTGTCACTCTCAAACTGTTCCAGCAAGAAGGAACAGTAAACTAGTAATGGCCCGGTAAGGTAACTGCTAGTAACCGTCAAAGTATTATGACAAGCCTTTACAATGTAAAGTTAAAATATGTGAGGACATTGTGAGAAAATGAAAAAGTACATGAGATTTCAAGGGCAACAGAGCCCTGACTTTCTAAGTTCACAAGTAGCTAAAAACAGAACGCGAGCTCATGTTATGAGCAGCAAAGCAACTAGAGCGCTTTTGCTAGCCGAGCGACAGGAATCTATTAACCACCTCGCACGCCCCAGCCATGTCCCTGCAAGCCTTGATCCCTCATTCTGCCACAAACCCTGCCACTGCGGCGGGATGGGGAGGGGGGTTGGAAGTATGCAAAAAAGAACTCATTCTTTTTTGCATACTTCCCAACGTTTTGATCAATACAAGGACCGCTTGAGAGAGAGCAGGGGGGAGGGGAGGGCATGTGGCAGAGGGGGAAAGCAAGGGTGATTGGGGGAGAGCACGAGCTAGGGGTAGGGGGGTGCGAGTATGGGGGATCCTCCTTCCAGAGCCAGATTTCCCCCCCTCCATAGCCCTCTTTCCACCCCCCCAGCAGTTCCCTCCCCTCCCCCTCTCCAGAGCACTCCTCCTCCCCTTCCCCCCTCCAGAGCACTCCTCCTCCCCTCCCCCCCTCCAGAGCACTCCTCCTCCCCTCCCCCCCTCCAGAGCCCTCCTTCTGCCCTCCCCCCCTCCAGAGCCCTCCTCCTCCCCTCCCCCTCCAGAGCCCTCCTCCTCCTCTCCCCACCTCCAGAGCCAATTCCTCCCCCCTCCAGAGTCATCCCTTCCCCCTCCGATGCCCTCCTCCCCCTCCATACATAGCCCTCCCTCCCCCTCCTCCAGAGCCCTTCTATCCCCCACACCCCCCCTCTTTCCCGAGTGACAAAAGCCCTCTGAGCGGGAAGCGGGAAGCGGGAAGCGGGAAGCGGGAGGCGGGAGGCGGGGGCAGTGTGAATGAGGGGGGGAGAGCACGGGAGATGGGGTAGTCAGGGGTGGAGCATGGGTCGGGGGGAAGAGCATGGGTTAGGGGGGGGACAGCTCAGGCTAGCAAGCCCGTATGGGATACGGGGAAGCGGGGAAGCGGGAAAGCCGGCAAGCGGGGAAACGAGGAAGCGGGGAAGCTGGGAGGCGGGGAAGCGGGGATGCCGGAAAGGGGGGAAGCGGGGCAGCGCGAAACTGGGGAAGCGGGGAAGCGGGACGCGAGAGCATGGGGAAGCGAGTAAGCGGCAAAGCGGGAAGGGAGCAGAAGCAGGGCGGGAAGGGAGCAGAAGCAGGGCAGGAAGGGGTTCAGAGGCAGGACGAGGGTAGTGGGGCGAAGGCAGGGAAGGGAGGGATTGGCTTGGTTTAAGGAACCAGGCAGGAACCTGTCTGATCTCACCTTCCCCCCGCAACCAGAGCACACCTTCCGCCCCTGTCTGAACCCACCTCCCCCCCAAACCAGAGCGGAATATTCCCCCTCTCTGAGCTCACCTTCCCCCCCCAAGCAGAGCTCATCTTTCCCCCTGTCTGAGCTCACCCCCCCCCCCCCCCCCCCCTCCCCAAAATAGGGCTCATCTCCCCCCCTGTCTGTGCCCACCTTACCCCCACACCAGGGCGGAACTTCCCCCCCTCTCTGGGCTCACCTTCCCCCCTCTCTGAGCTCACCTTCCCCCCTGTCTGTCGTCACCTTCCCCCCACACCGAGCAGGACTTCCCCCCTCTCTCAGCTCACCTTCCCCCCACCAACGAGGGCTCATCTTCCCCCCCCCCAGGACTCATCTTCCCCCGTGGCACAGACCACCTTCCCCCCACAACAGAGCGGGACTTTCCCCCTCTCTGAGCTCACCCTTCCCCCCCCAACCAGTGCTCATCTTCCCCCCTGTCTTTGCCCACCTTTCCCCCACACAAGAGCGGGACTTCCCCCTTCTCCGGGCTCACCTTCCCCCCCTCTCTGAGCTCACCTTCCCCCCTCTATGGGCACATGGAAACACCACATGCCATGCCATGCCATGCCGCGCACCATGGCAGGGATATGCTAGGGGAAAGGCAGGGATGAGCGCAGTGGGAAGCAGGGAGTGGGACGCGCGTGGTGGGGGAGGGGAAAGTGTTTCGCGGGCTGCGGGTAGCGCGCACAGGCAGCGGCGGGAAGCGACAAGCGGGCAGCGATGGGCGACGGCGCTTGAAACAGGCAGCAGATGCCCTTCCAGGCCGGGAGAGCGTGGAAGCTAGGAAGCGGGAAAGCAGGGTCGCGGGGAAGCAGGTAGGCGGGAAAGCGGGGGATCCGGAAAGAGGGGAAGCGGGGCCACGGGAAACCGGGGAAACGGGGTCGTGGAAAACCGGGTAAACGCGGGATCACCGAAACGCGGGGAAGTGAGGAAGCGGGAAAGCGGAGGGGAGAAGGTGGGACCAGTCACCAGGGTAAGCAGGAACCCGAGAAAGCGGGATAGCGGGGAGGGGGAGTGGTGTGCAAAGCGGGATCGCGAGATAGCGGGACCGCGCCTAAGCTGGCCACGCTCAGCAGCAGTGGTGGGGGCTTTCTCTGATAAACCGGGCTATCTGCGGCGCACAATGGAATTGGCGGTTGGCGCTGTGTTTGGGGGCGAAAATGGCGGGGTAGGAGCCATGGCGCGTGAGTACAGAATAAACACCAAGAAGCTTTGGATCTTGGTTTTTTAGGTCTGTCTTTGCTGCTGGGCGAGCTAGCTGCGTCGCAGGGCTGTCGCTTGGCCAATCAGAACCCCCCCATGCGCTCGCTTTAATCGCGTCGCATTTTATCGCATGCGATAAAATATCGCATCGCGCGATTAATTTTCCTGATTTTGGGATATCGCATATCGCATTTTGGGTGCGATAGTTAACAAGATCGCAAATGTTGGTGCAATATATCGCGCGATACGATAATATATCGCATCGCATTTACTGCATGTGGAAAAAAAACTTAGTATTTGACCAGGCGGAAAAAAAGAGTGCGGAAATTCGACACAACCCCGGCGAAATTTCACACTGCGATTGATTATATCGCATGCGATATTATTATATCGCATGCGATATTATTATATCGCATATCGCATTTTTATTGCACGACACATGGCGCGGTAAAAATGCGATGAAAAATATCTCATCGCATCGCGCGATATAATTTTCAGGGGAAAAATTATCGCAATTGCAAAAATGCGATATTTGCGATGCGATAATGCGATATGCGATGCGATATGCTCATGTTTTAAGTAGTTACACTTCCACCCGGAGTGAGTTGGTTGGCGCGACCGTGCTATGGTAGAATATACTCACGGTGCAGACAGTGAAGCACGGGACACAGACTTCTCATTCGACTACTCCAAGTATGTCTCGCTCCCCCTCCCTCCCTCACCCCCCCTTCCCCCCTCCCTCCGTTTCTCCTTCCCCTTCCCCCCCCAACCCCCCAGCTCCCGTTTTTCCGTGTGGCAGGCGATTCAACTTTTAAGGAGTGAAGGAGTCGCGAGGGGATCCAGTGTCCCACAAGCTCTTGTGGCGCTGCAGACAGATCCCCACCGCCCCACCTACCGTTGATCCCCCTCCCCTTTTTCCCCACCGCCTCCTCTCCTCCCCCCCCTCCTCTTTTCAATGGCAGGCGATTCTGCTGAGGCGGTTCAACTTCTGGGGAGTGAAGAAGGAGTCGCGCGGGGATCCAGTGTCCGACAAGCTCTTGTGGCGCTGCAGCCAGCCCATGTGGCACACCAAGACCTGGGTGGGGTGGCACGACAAGGTGGCCGTCAACCCACAGACCATCCTGCCCTAGTGAGTGTGGCAGGTTGTGTGACCCTCTCCCCATGAGCACTACTTTTCCGTGCTTCAAAGATTGGCTCTTGTGACGGTGCAGCCAGCCCATGTGGCACACCAAGAGCTGGGTCGGCTGGCACGACAAGGTGGCCGTCAACCCGCAGACGACCCTGCCCTACTGAGTGTGGGAATGTGCTTGTTGTTTTTTAGTCGACTCAGAAGCCACCTTGTGGCGGTGCACCCAGTCGATGTGGCACACCAAGAGCTGGGTGGGCTGGCACAACAAGGTCGCCGTCAACCCGCAAACCATCCTGCCCTAGTATGTCTAACAACCCTTTATCCATTTGGTGATGTCTCCTTGCTGTTTACTGATGTTTGAAGACTTTCGACAACGATGCATCGGATTCTTGAGGGAGCATCCGATGGTTGACACGCATCTGCTTGTTGAGATGCATCAGATGGTTGAGGTGCATCACATGGTTGAGGTGCATCACATGGTTGAGATGCATCAGATGGTTGAGATGCATCAGATGGTTGAGGTGCATCAGATGGTTGAGGTGCATCAGATGGTTGAGGTGCATCAGATGGTTGAGATGCATCAGATGGTTGGTTGTTGGGTGACATGCATCAGATGGTTCAAATACATGAGATGGTTGGAATGCGTCTGATGGTTGGAAGCATATTGCATATTGCAGTCCAACAAACTAGTATGTGTCAACCGTCTGACACGTTTCAACCATCTAATTCATCAACCGTCTGATGCCCCTCAACCATACTATGCAAATAGTCAGGCACAAGATGTAAATTTCTGAAAATGCATTTTAAAATTCAAGGATTATGACAAGACTTGTATAGGAGGATGCAATAAGGAGATGTCTCCTCCTTATCTTGTGGCGGGTCCATGGACCTGCCACCTAGCCTGAATCACGCTGTAAATCTCCCGCCTGCCCTTCCCTAATCTCGTGGTCCGTAGCTTAGCATTTCAGGATGAGTGATTTTTGTCTCGCTACTCTCCTTGTTTTGTAATCTTGCACACGAGTGTGTGGTAACCCTGAGATTTGCAATACTATGACGACTGCTCCGCAGACTCCTTAAAAAGCCAGAGTATACATTTTGGTTGAAGCATTCAAAATTTAAAGATTTGAAACTTGGTAACCCCATAGACCTGCCAGGATTCTCTCGCTCTCACCAGGGCTCCAATGATTCTCGACATTTGAACGAGGGGATCTAGATTGTAGACTGATTGTTCCGTCTCCTCGATTTTGACTCCCCCTCCCTCGATTTCAATTCCCCCCTCCCTCGACTTCAATCCCCCCCCAAGCCCCCAATTCCTTAGCCCCCGCCCCGCCCCCAATTTCCCCTTCCTCTCACCCCCACACGATCCAAAATCTCCCTTGCTCCCCACATTCGACTCATCATTCGATTCCCGCCAGCCTCCCAAAGTCGATTCCCCCCAGCCCCCCAATTCAGATTCCCCCGAACCCCCCAAATTTCGATTCGCCCCTAGCCCCCCAAATTCTATTTCCCCCTCCCCCCCAATTTCGATTTCCCTCTCCCCCCCAATTTCGATTTCCCCCGCCCCTCCAGTTTCGATTTCTCCCTCCCCCCAATTTCGATTTCCCCTGCTCCTCCAATTTCTATTTCTCCCTCCCCCCCAATTTCGATTTCCTTTGCCCCTCCAATTTCGAATTATCCCTCCCCCCAATTTCGATTTCCCCCGCCCCTCCAATTTTGATTGCTCCCTCCCCTCCAATTTCGACTTCCCATCTCGCACCACCCACCCTCGCCGAAATTGACAAAGGCAAATTCGCCTCACCAGAACTTTCCCTTTCGCCAGTCAGCATTTGGGAGTGGCCAACCTAAATGTAGACGCCGGCTTTAAAGAGTCCTGTCTTAATATGTGACACATGGATCAAATAGCTACAACCATCTAATGCATCACAACCGTCTGATTTACTTTGATCCCATGGTGTCCTTCTCTGAGTGAGTGTTGTGTTTTAAAGCCCGCCTGGCAGGTTGAATATTTGCACTGTTCAGGTAGGTGGGGCGGCAGAATCTGATTGGCCAACGAATTATTACAGAAAACGAATTATTCTGGCGAAGGGGAGGCTTCGCAGAGTCAGCGTTGGTTCGCGCAAGCTAGCGGGGCTGGAAACCTGGCAGGGCTGCCGAGTTTTGGAGCTCTCACTCTGGCGGAGAACCACCTCCCCAGCTCTGCCAAGTTTGCAGGGTGACTGGTTGGCTGTTGACATCACAACCAGCACCTCGTCCCGACCGGTTTTGAAAACAAAAATCGGATGTGGTTTGGCGCGCTCTACAGTTTGATAATATGCGACACAAAAGGTTCAAACACATATTTATTTCGCAATTCCCGCCCAAAATGTGAGTACAATTTTAGGTTTCTACCCCCCACACAACTCGTCCCATTTCTCCCCTCGAAGAACTTGGCAGGCTGGCACTGCCAAGTTCCAAGAAATCACCAGCCCTGCCAGGTTGGAAACCCTTCGCGAGCATTTGGCAGTTTGACGCTAGCTGCTCGGTTACGGGGGCCTCAAGGTGCAGCATCTTGAGAAAAGGGGACTTGCAACCTGCCGGTCGGGCTTTAAACCCCACCCCCCCCCCCTTACCCCCTCCCCCCTCCGCCCAACCCACTTATGTTTCTCATGTTTCCCCATCAATTTGCCTGGCCCCTGGATGACTCCTTCCTTTTCCTCCCCAGTCATCCCCCTGGAGTTTCTTTTCTCTTTAATTTCCTTATCCTCCAACCCTTTTCCCTTGACTTTCCTTCCACTTATTCCCATGTGCCTCTACTTGCAATCAGTTCTGTGTCGATCCACAACACTTTCGCCCCACCCGAGGAGATGGCAACGGCCCCACCGGAAATTCTCCACCTCAACCACTACACATCCCGAGAAGTCGACTTGAACGAGCCGCCCTGCAACGCCACGGTGAAGCCGATAGAGGACGCGAGCCTCTTCTGGGCGCGCAACCGCACGATCGAATGCAGGGCTCTGCCTTGTAGTATTGCAAGCACCCCTGTAGAGTGCTGGCCTTTGTGCCAGCTGCCTTTCTAATCCGTAATCGAAAACATATGTTCAAATGTAGGGTGATTCTTTGTATACAAACTGCGGGCTCCTGTGAGTCCCAATCCCAACGTGAGTGCTCCACCTGAATTACTTCACGTCACGGGAAGTCCACCTGAGCGGCCCTGCAATGCCACAGTGAAGTGAACCCCATAGAGGATGCCACTGCCAGTCTCTTCCGGGTGCGCAGCCGCACGATTGAATTGAATGCAGGGCGCTATCAAAATAGCCAAGTAAACTTGAGCATGGGGTACAGGGGAGATATAAGGTTTGGTGTTGTAGGTGTCATCTCATACACATTAGCTATGTAGAAGTTATAGGCTAGACTGAGGTATGCTCCTAGTGAGTACAACCAACTAGTATTTGTTCTAGGTTTCTCCTTCTAGTTCATTATTCAGTTCTTACTTTAACATGGTATCACGCGTAGGTTAGAATCCCCCACCTACCGCTTCCGCCCGTACCCTAGCTAGGCCCCGCCGCATCCCCCCTGGGCCCCGTTGCGCCTCCTAGCCCCGTCGCGCCTCCTAGCCCCGTCGCGCCCCTCCTGGGCCCCGCCGCGCCTCATAGCCCCGTCGCGCCCCTCCTGGGCCCCGACGTGCCTCCTAGGCCCCGTCGCGCCCGCTCCGGCCCCGTCGCGCTCTGCCTGGCCTCGTCGCGCTGTGCCTGGCCTCGTCGCGCGTGCTAGGCCCCGTCGCGCCCTGCCTGGCCCCGTCGCGCCCGCCTGGCCCCGTCGCGCCCGCCTGGCCCCGTCGCGCCCTGCCTGGCCCCGTCGCGCCTGCCTGGCCCCTCCGCGCCTGCTTGGCCCTGCCGCGCCTGCCTGGCCCCGCCGCGCCTGTCTGGCCCCGCCGCGCCTCCCTGGCCCCGCCGCGCCTGCCTGGCCCCGCCGCGCCTGTCTGGCCCCGTCGCGCCTCCCTGGCCCCGCCGCGCCTGCCTGGCCCCGCCGCGCCTGGCTGGCCCCGCCGCGCCTGCCTGGCCCCTCCGTGCCTGCCTGGCCCCGCCACGCCTGCCTGGCCCCGCCGCGCCTGCCTGGCCCCTCTGCGCCTGCCTGGCCCCGCCGCGCCCGCCAGGCCCTGCCGCGCCTCCCTGGCCCCGCCGCGCCTGCCTGGCCCCGCCGCGTCTGCCTGGCCTCTCCCACTGCCCGCGCGGCCCCTCTTCGTGCCTGCTCGGCCTGCCGTGCCACCTCGAGCTCCGTCTACTCTGCTCGCCAGCGCCGGGGCGCCTCGCGGCTGCCGTGCTGGATAGTGTTGCCGCCGTGTCCCTGCGTCGCTGTGTCCCTGCGGAGCTGTGGAGCTGTGCCGCTGACCCTGCACGATGGCTGACTTCGTGCTCCGACTGGACGCCGAGGGCCATGCGGTTGACTTCGTCGCCTGGCTCCCCGATCTCCGCCGCCACCTCACAGGTCAGCGCCAGGATGGCCACTCTTTGGTTGTCCATGTCGATGGCTTGCTCCCCTGCCCCCCGCACCTGCTCCACTCCCTGCTGACCCCTCCTCTGATGACTGTGAGACCTTCTCTACTGCTGCGCTTGCCTGTGCGGTCTGGGACTCCCGCGATGCAGTCGCTCAGGTTGCTATTAGCCACGCCCTCCCTATGTCTGAGCGCTCGCGTTTTGCTAATGTTGCGACAGCCAAAGCCTACTTAGACGCCGTTATTGCTCGCTATTCCACACCCGCGTCTGCTTCTGCTGGCCGCTTGCTCTTCCCGATGCTGTTCCCAGACCTTGCAGCCTTCCCTACCGTCGCAGACTTTGCCAATCACCTGCGTGCCCTAGAGACCCGCTATCGCACTGCCAGCACTGCTGCCCAGCTCACAGCACTCCCCCCCCTTTTTGCATGACGCTCTTTTATCGCCATGCGCCTGCCAGACCGCCTCGCTAGTGCCGCGATCACTTCCTTAGCCAGCACCCGGGTGACCTCACCCTCACCGCCTTTGTCGACACCCTCGCCGAGATCGAGACTCGCCGTTGCTTAGCCACGCCCTCCATGTCTGAGCGCTCGCGCGGCGCGCCCCTCTTAGACGCCGTACCGCTATTACACCCTCTGCTTCTCTATCGCCGATTGCGCCCCTGCCAGATCCCGCGGCCTCGCTAGTGCTGCCGCTACCACTCTCCTTAGCGCCAGCAGCCGCCGCAGTGACCTCACCCCTCCACCCGCCTTTGTCGACACCCTCACTGAGATCGAGACTCCCAGCGCACTATCGCTCAGTCGAGTGGTGCGCCGGCAGTCTCTATCTTTCACGGCTGTGCCCCCTCCCAGTGCACGTTCACTGACGTTTCGGCTGCGGTCGCCACGGCGACCCCTCTCACCAAGACGGCTGTTGCGGTCCACCCACAGCAGCGCTCGCGCCGCGGTGGCCGTGGTCGCCAGGAAGGTCGGGGTGGTGGCGCAGGTGGTGGTGGTCGTGGTGGTGGTGACGGTAGTCCGCCTGAGGGGACTACCACCGGTGGGCAGGAGCAGCAGCCCCAGCTGCAGCAGGAGCAGCCCCAGCAGCAGCCGCCGTCCCAGCAGCAGCCGCCGTCCCAGCAGCAATCGCCGCAGCCGTGGGCCCGTCTCCCGCCTGGTTGGCCCGGCACCTCCGGAGGTGGTGGCTGTGCTTGCGGCCCGCGCAGCTCGGTGTCTACCGGCGGCTCCGGTGCTGTCACTTGCCAGTACCAGCTTCAGACCGGGCCTCTTCGCGGCACCCTGTGCCGCCGCCCGCACCCGACCGCCCACTGTTTCCGCCGCCTCGACGATCTGTTTCGTCGTCGCTTTGGCCCGGCCCCGGACCTCCCCGACTGGCACAGCCTGCTCCGCCAGGGCGTGCTGATCTTTGAGCTAGACATGGATCAGATAGGTGCTGCTTTGCATGCCTTGTATTCTGATGCTTCTAGTGTTGCTGGGTCTTATTACCCTGTGTACTCTAGTTTAGGTGTTGCACCGTTGTGTAGCTTAGCCTCCCCTACTGCGTCAGGCGTAGGACTGCCTAGTTTGCCTAGCCTAGTCTCTGCACCGGCTCCGTTCCCGGCCTCCGCCACAGCTTCGCTGTCCTTCACTCTCGACTCCGGTGCTTCTGCCTGCTTCTTCCGCGACCGTTCCGCGCTCACGCCGCTTGCTACGCCTGCTGTTGTCTCTCTCGCTGACCCCTCTGCGGGTCCTGTCGTCGCTCGCAGCTCTACGTCCCTTCCCTGTCCAGCAGTTCCCTCGGGCTCCCTTACAGGCCTCCACGTTCCCTCGTTCTCGAGGAACCTGGTTGGTGTCGGCTGTCTTCAGGACCTCGGCGTCACCACCACGTTCCCCGTTCCCTTGTCTGTTCTGAGGCTGTCTCAGGTTCCCCCTTTGCGACGTTCCCCCGGGACCCGGTGTCTGGTCTGTTTACCCTCGAGACCGCTTCCCCCCCGGTTGGTGCGTCCTCCCACGTCGCTGCAGCTTGCTCGTGTCTGTCCCTCACTCACCCGTCCCTTCTCTGGCACCACCGCCTAGGTCACCCTGCTCTCCCACGTTTGCGTCACATGTCCCAGCACGGTCTTGTCTTAGGTCTCCCTGCGTCGCTCCCTGCCCTTCCTCCCTCGACTGCGCCACCGTGCACGCCTTGCGTCGAGGGCCGGCTCCGCTGTGCTCCTCACTCCTCCTCGCTGCGCCCTGCTACTGCCCCCCTTCAGACCCTGCACCTCGACGTTTGGGGCCCTGCCGCCGTCCCCGGACCGCGAGGTGAGCGCTACTTTCTTGTGCTCGTCGACGACTACACGCGCTACACCACGGTGTTTCCCTTGGAGCGGAAGGCCGACGTGCCCGACGTTCTTCTCCCGTGGGTTGTGGCTGCGCGTCTTCACTGCGGTCTCCCCGTGTTGTGTCTCCACTCTGACCGTGGCGGCGAGTTCGCCTCTGGTCGGCTTGGACAGTTCAGTCGTGCGGAGGGCATCACCCAGTCGTACACCTTGCCGGACTCGCCACAGCAGAATGGGGTTGCTGAGCACCGCATCGGCTTGGTCATGGAGGTCGCCCGTACCTCCATGATTCATGCCGATGCCCCCCATTTTCTGTGGCCGCTCGCTGTTCGCTACGCTGCTCACCAGCTTAACTTGTGGCCACGCTCCCAGCGGCTGCAGGTTTCGCCGAACCTCCTTTGGACCGGGTCCCCGGGTGACGCGTCTGCGTTCCATGTCTGGGGCTGCCTTGCTCACGTTCGTGCCTCTGGCACGGACAAGCTTATTGCCCGCACTGTCCCCTGTGTCTTCCTCGGTTTCCGCCTGGACTCGTCTGACTGGATTTTCTACCACCCGCCGTCTCACCGCTTCCTCCACTCTCGTGACGTCACCTTTGACGAGTCTATCTCCTTCTACCGCCGCTTCCCTCACCGCGGTCTCCCGGTTAACCCGCCCCTGTTCCTTGCTCCCTCTCCCCCGGTAGCCCCTGCTCCTCTCCCGCCTCGCCCTGCCCCGTATGGTGTCTCTCACGTCACTCCCCTCCCGTCGGTTGTCCTCGTTGAGGAGTCTACTGACTCTGGTGGTACCCCCGGCCCGTCCTTATTGCGTCCCCCTTCCCTGGTGTCTTCGCCTCCACTGTTACAGTCGCCGCCTCCGCCGCAGCCGCTGCCGCCGTCGCCGCTGCTGCCGTCGCCGCTGCCGTCGCTGCCGCTCTTGGCCCCTGGGGGTGCTGGTGTGGAGGAGGGTGTTCGTTCTGTGGCTCCTGGGGGTGCCGCCGGTGTTGGAGGGGGTTCTCACTCTGGGGGTGTTGGTTCTGGGGGTGCTGCTGTTGAGGGTTCCGCCGATGGTCGTCCTGCCTCTGCCGACACGAGGGTTCCGGCCCGGCCGTCGCAGCAGCCACAGCAGCCGTCGCCGCCGGTCTCCGCTCTCCGCCTGCTCGGCCTTCCCTCCTTGGATCGCTCGCCGGTGTCTCCCCCACCGCCTGCTGACCTTCTTGTCTACGATCCTGTGTTCCCGCCGCCAGACTCGTCTCCAGCCCGTCTTCCTCCTCGTTCCCCTCCTGTATCCCCTCCGCTATCCCCGGACCCTACACCTCCGTCCCACGTTTGGTCTCGCCGTCCCTCCCGTGCTCGTCCCGTCTCTCCTGTCCTGCGCTCGCACCCTATGTTGCTCCGTTCCCGCTCGTCTCGTCCTGCCCTCCTCCCGTCCCCTCCTCCCTCGTCCCTTGCTGTTGCACCTCCTCCGTTCTCTGACTACCTCCGTGCCGCTCGTCCCCTTGTCCCTCGGGTCCTTGCCTCTCTTGTTACCGACCCTTCTGTTCCTGTCTCGCGCCTTGACGCGCTTGTCGCTGC